CTTTATATTATGGGTTACCCCTACAATAGCAAGGTACTATATAAAGAATTATAGTTATCTGAAGGCTTAAAATTTGTCTACTTGTAAAATTGAAATATGAATGGGTTTTTATAGTTTGTATTCAACGCTATATTCCCTTTTCACGAGACAGTGCAATGCTAGTCCCATAAACATATATTAACCATATGCTTCAATATTTTAGAACACTAACCGTATTTCACCACCCTATCTCTTTCCCATTTTAAAGTTTCACTGTATATAATTTGGTTTCTTTCACATTCTTGCATTTCTTTATTAATTAAAATGCAATTTTATTTTGACTGAACAGTTTCACAAAATATGTGCTCACCCATGATTGTAGCCTGCGTAGCAGTCGCTTTATTTTATTGTAGGTTTTGAGGATTTTTGAATAAATGGCGAGTTAGAAAAATGGACGAAGAAAAAAAGGGCGATTCCTTCGCCCGTTTTTTCTCGCCCTTTTTCTCTTCGCCCATTTTTTCTAACCTGCCATTTATTCAAAAATCCTCAAATCCTACAATAATAAAATAAAGCGACTGCTACGCAGGCTACCATGATTGCAACTATCTAAATTCTAAAATTTCCTCTGAAATTCCTTTAATATTTCCTTACTATAGGCAATCACATGTATTATCACGGAATTTTAAAGGAATTCCTTAAGAATTCCCAAGGAATTCTTGAAGTTTATGAAATCAATTTAATATTTTAATTCATAAACAATACAACGATACTAATTAAAAGTATTTGTCCCATGTGAGAATATCTGAATTTAGAAAGTTACTGTAAATTAATGTGAAAAAGTTGCTGTTATATAGTGTGAAGATATTCATCCGAATTCCAAGTATGATTATATAAACAATTAAATTAATCTGTAAAACGGGTAAATAGATATACATGATCTGCTAGTAACGAAAAACAGCTAGTTGCCAAAGACTAGAGTTGAACATATTGTGAACTAGCCATTGGAATGATTCTCCAGATTCACAAGCGGCATATGGGGCATATTTCATGATTTGCTACCTGAATTGTCCACATGGTTTACAAGCACATACTGGATATAAATATTAGTTATGCAGTATCAAGTGTAGATGCCCAAAAATTAAATCCTGAAAATTTAATAGACTGTACATATACTTTTTGAGATATGTAATAAGAGGATGTTTATATGGGGGCGAGGCTGGATGCCCGGGGTTAGGGGCTACAGACTTAAGGTCACTTTTCCTGAAGCAAGATCTCGAGCTATTAAAGGGGCGGGATCTCGCTTAGCTATAGCTGGGCCCGCTCTTTACCCATATATACACGAAGTGAACTTTAGTAAGAAATAACAACAAAGGCAGGATCTCGCCAAAACTGGGCTAGCTTGGGTACCCTGGGGTTGGCTTCCAGTTGCAACATATAAACAGCCCCTATATATCGGCAGTATATATTTTGTCTGGTAGTTGGAGTCTTTGGAGATTTTGTGTGTAAATGAATATAAAAATGACCCTTTACAGGTGGGTTGAGGGGGTGTTTCTGTCAACGTTTTGGAAAGCAATAATATTGTATTAAAAAATTAGAATAATCACATATTAAACTCTGATTGTAGTATATTATATTGTATTGTGTGTGATTAAAGTAAGGTAATTTTTTTTACCCCACCTCTGCATGCAAGGATTTTTTGGCCACCCCACCTAAAGCAACTATTATTTTTCAGTTACCCCACCATTTTCTCTTCGGCCCCCACCCCTGCCATAAATAATGACCGGTCCCTTATGAGCAGAAATACTCAACACTGAACGTCGGGCTATATATCAAATTGAAGCTATTGAAAAACGCTATTTGGTTTAGAAATTTCAAGACTTTAGCTAAAAGAGAAATATTGAAAAACTACAAACATAATTACCGATAATTTGCCGTTTTGCAGTTGTTTTTGTATTTTTTTAATATTTTT